GAGTGTGCAGTTTTGTAGTTTTTGTGGTTCCTTTTCAACGTTTGCTAGCCATTTCGCGGTACTCTTTCGCTGCCACAAATTCGGTACTTGATTTCAGCGGTATCGAACGGGCGAACCCCAGCGGGGATCCCTTGATCCCTTCCCTTCCTCTCCCCGTATGCACGAATGTAGCTCAACAACACGGGGGAGGGGACGGTCATCCCCTGCAACGGAGTAGGGGTTCGATGATGTAGATCGTGCCAGAGAAGCGAATATTTTGGTTTTAATCAGTTATTACCAAGCATTTCGTGCAACTTGATGAGAGATTTTCTTTGATAACCGGGTTCCCCTCTTAGCGACCTGTAGCTTGCAATTTTGCCTCTCTCTTCTATGTTCGCCTCTCAGAAGAAACCCGAGCAATAATAGCTGTCAATTTCGGATATTTGTTGGAGATCTTGATTATTCAAGAAATTTGCGCATTTTTCAAGTGACATAATATTAGGTTGTCCCGAACGTTTTTTCAACCTATCATAAAAACGCGTGGAACGAAGATAGGGAAACGCCCTAATCACTATCCGACGCATCTTTTCCTCCTCTTTCTAACTATCATGCTCACATGCCAATTACTCTTTGGCTGACTGAGATAAATGCCGAAAGTTCGAACCCATGGTTTTTACTATGTCCAAGTTTGGAAATTTTTTACAATCTTCATTTTTGACTTTCGGAAAAGCTTTGGTAGCAGTTAGATAGAGCAAACAAAGGGCAATATAATGCAATTTTGCGGCATCTACGGCTAGCCTTGAAAATTTTTTAGAATTATTTTTCTGATGCTATCAAATTCCACTTTTGGTGATGCCAAAAGCCAGAGACCATGAAACGGCGCACAACTAAGGTGTTATTCGATGCAGCTTTTCCTTCTCTTTCCAGTGAGTGTATATCCTCTCCAATTTGCGGGTCTGTGGCGATAAAATTTTCATAATTCTTGAATTTGACCCCACCCCAACGTGTACACGTAAAATGCAAAATCTTATATTTCGAAGCGGTAAATGCTCAGTTGCTTTGTAAAAATAGTGAATAATCGTAATCGATTTTTGAAAGCTTCAAAATCCGATGATTTGTTAGTTTTCGAGGCGTTTCTGTATTTTGGGACTTCGCAAAACTGAAGAGTTTTGAAAAAATCATCTTAAAAAATACTGAAAAGCTAGCTGGATAAGCCAAAAAATTGCATTGCATTGCACTTTGTTTACTTTATCTGAGCGCTATCAAAGGTCTTCCAAAAGTTGAAAATGAAGCTTGTGAAAAATTGCCAAACTTGGACATAGTAAAAACCACGGGTTCGCGGCGTTTATCTCAGTGAGCAAAAGAGTAATCGGTATGGGATCATGATAGTTGGAAAGAGGGGGAAAAGTTGCGTCGGATAGTACCTGAAGCGTTTACCTACCTTCATTCCTCGTGTTTTTATGATAGATTGAAAAAACGGACAAAACTTTCGGGACAGCCTGATACCATATAAGCTGATTAAACACATTGTAACTATCGTATATATGATATATTGCCTTAATCTTGTTATCTTAACATAAGCTGCCTTAAAAAATCTAGAAAGTAGCAGATTTGCCTAATTCTGAGTATAGTTAACAATAATTTTCGCCGAATGAACGAATATCGAATAATCAATTTTCGAAGATTTTTCGAACGAATGAATATCGAATATTTGATTTCCGAAAATTCTTCGAATGAACGAATATTATTCGACTTTCGATTTTCATTTTATTCGAATTTGAATATTCGAATATTGGCACATTCCAAAATTCGAATGAACGAATACTTGAATAAGCGAACTTTATCGAATATTCGAACTAATTTCGAATAAATGTTCGAATATAATTCGAATATTTGAATGCAATATTCGAATATCCGAATATTCGAATAACCTTTTTCGAAATCGTCGAATGAACGAATTATTCGAATATAGGCCTTTCTCATTTAATCGACTATTGAATAATCGAATAATTGGACTTTCTCGATATTCGACTATTCGAATATTCGAATAGTCGAATATTTCAAATAAATTATTCGAACACGAATATTCGGTGCTAACTATAATTCTGAGTAGAGATCCCCAGGGGAGTGATCCCCTCCCCAGCGTTCCCCTCGTGCATGGCAGGTATGGCTGCTGGGGATCATTCCCTTGAGGAAATGGACGGTATGTCGTTAATAGCTGCAGCCTCCATGAAGATCTGGCACAGTTTGCAGATTTTGTTATGTGTAGAAATTCTCATTTGAGTGCCGCAGCATTCCCCCCCCCCATGTTTCTTCGGCAGCATAACGTCTTACATTCATTGCAGAGACATCTTAGCTTCCAGTTGAACACCTTCACGCTGGAATGGGCAGCATGGGGGAATGTGAGCAACACTAATGAAAACAGCAGGAATCTAATGGACCTAAGAATTATTATTTTTGGTGCGCGAGCGCAATCACAGCAGACATGCATACCGAACGACTGAATATTGCCGATGACAAAATAACAACGACTACTGTCAAAAGATGAGAACGCAGGAAAATTACCATAGAAAAGCGGAAGCGAAGTGATTTCCCCGCTCGATCCCGTTTGTGCATAAGGGGGTTCACTTCCCTTACTCCTAGGGGATCCCTTCTCCGATATTGTCTTTGTACATACGGGGGTTCGCAAGTGGAGGGGAGGGAAGCCCCAGCGGGGATCATATCATTCTAATGGTAAAACGCACATCCCTTCCCCGCGGGGATGTACGTGCATACGGGCCTAAGTTGAAGCTCTACAAAATGGTATATAAATATTCTCCAAGGACTTCATGACAAGAGACTTATCAACAGCCAGACTGTGGGCAAATTTTTCTGAGACACTCTTACTTTGTTGCAAAGTCAATGAGCTTCTTGTGATTTTTCCAGACTTTTTTCATAACATCGAAATTGCCCATTTTATTTTTTCAACCATCGATATTTTTTCCTTGAAACAGGTTTGAACTACTACTGAGAAGCTTTTTTATGATTATTTAACGAAGATTAAAAAATATTCTACCCTCATCTGTTGAGAATTTACAAAGCTCTGAATAACCGCCCTTAAAATCCGAATTTATTGCATTCACTTGGTCAGAATGCATTCGCAAAGAAAGACGTATTCTCGAAAATTCAGCTGCTGGATGTATTAGAAAATGTCTACATTACGCACACCTAAGTATTTCCGTCAGAAATTATCCAGACTGAGATGTCCGCGCCTACATGGGTACTCGTGGTCATTCTACGGCTCGTAAATGCCTTTATAGGTAACTAGGATAGGTAACACAAATACAGGTTTTAGTTGCACCAGATTTTTGACTACACAGCTCTCCTCCAATGCCTGAAGAATTGGCCATGCCTATTGGCCTGCTTTCACGATTCTCATGTTATCAAAGACAGTTCTAGCCTATATGGGCTACATTTGATGGATGATTGCATGGCCTGCATGCTTTTGAGAACAAACCCATTATAAGGGCGACAGGTCCCCACGCAATATCATGCAAGCCGGTGCCTGTGTACGCTGAATACGGTGGCACTGGTTTAGAGACGGATATCTCTGTCCTGAGCGCACAGGCATCTGCACAAGCATCTGCGCTACTGCTTGGAGGTTGCCTTTAGGCCCATTTCCACATGCGATCCCCGTGTGCTGCCTTTAGTCAATCTAAATTACCAAATATTCTAGCGCTTGTTCAATGAGTATGAGATCTAAAGCCTATTACGGCAGTACGAACGACCGGTGAGTCGCATGCTTGGTGAAAATTTGCTTCTTGCAAATTTTTTGAAGATGCAAGCGGTCCGAAATGGGATACATCGAAAAATGACTTTATTATGAATGTGTTAATGTTTGAGCAATGGATTCTGAGATATACAGTTCACTTCTTTGATGACACGTACATAGTTTTTGCACACTTGGGAGAGAACACGCTCTAGAGCTTTATTTTTCTCTTCTCTTCACTTTCTCTTGATTGGTGTTCGTATGAAGGCTCTTAAATAAATACGAAGTTTTTCTCCGAAGAAGTTTCTTCTCAGGCATAAATCAATTTCTGTGCTGGTGAAAAGGATGTAAACTCCTCGGGGATGAAACTGACCATGAGAGGTGTTGCTGTTTTAGGCCCGTATGCACGTACATCCCTGCTGGGGAGGGGAGAGGATCTGAGAGGGGATGCTTCATATCTCGCTACTCTACGTATCTTTCTCCTTCCTTTTCTCTCTTTCTTATAAAGGTTCTCATACCCTTATACCTGCGCATAATGGATGCCACGTTACTGGCGTGATTGATTAGATTTTCACTATTTGTGTGATCGGGGATCCCCAGGGGATCACCTCTCAATTCCAATGCCATTTATCTCCCTGAAAACTCAATGAAACGCTGTAAAATTGTGCTATGGTTATACTTCGGCGCTGCTAAGATGATTATAGTAAAAATAAGTGAAGTCTCAGGATATCGAAATTTTTCTCGGTAATCCCTAGCTCGCGAACCACGGATCATTGAAAAATTCACAATCTTCAGATTCCATTTCTTATCGAAAATATGCTTAGCATGCTGTAGTATATCCTCAGCACAATCTTACAGCTTTTTCATTGACTTCTCAGGAATATAAATCACTTTGAAAATGAGAGTGATCCCCAGGGGATCTTCTGGGGATCCCATAGGGATCACACAAAATGGCAAAAAACCAATTTTTTCTGGAAGTAACCTAATCCATTATGCGCAGGTTAAGTGTATGAAAAGCTTCATAAGCAAGATAGAGGAAGAAAAAGAAATATACGTAGAGTAGCGAGATATGACGCATCCCCTCTCAGATCCCTTCCCCTCCCCAGCGGGGATGTACTTGCATACGGGCCTTACTGTTGCAAGACATAACTTTTCTTATTTGACCATATCTATTAATAAACCACCATAAGTGGAACTAATGAATCTTATTTGCATCTGCTTTCTGCCAGTTATGTAATAGTTGAAAATTCATTGTTATACTTTCACGATTTAGGCGCTACCGATGGGGCCATAATAGACTTCTATTCGTCTCTTTCCAAGAACATTACAAACTCACATGGAGCACAAGCAAAAATCGCTAATGGGCTCTTTCTGAAGTAAGTTAGCATGCTTTCTGTCCACCTTATTTGAAATTAGGTAGAAGACCGTCGACATTGAGCAATGATTGGCGATAGCAGCAAAAGTTCAGCTCGGCAATTTCATGCTGTTAACTTACCGTGAAAATTCATCAATCTTATATATAAAACTAAATGTCTGTCTGTACGCATTCAAAAAAACTAACCTCAACCGTTACGTTCTTCCTGTCTCCATTGGATGCAGCAGAGAATGCCGACTCCTATATCTTTCTTCCGTATTTGCTAGACGCCCTTTGTGCGAAGTCATGAGCAGTCTTGTTGTAAGAAATCGTACATACAGACCACAAAATCAAGCAAAAGATACCCTTTTAGCTTACCTTTGAGAATGGAATTTTGAAAGTGTTTGCATGTTTTCACCCATCGTTAGACCAAACAAGGTCATTATGCCAAACAAAGCTATTTTGTTCAAAACATACCGATTGCTTCTATGGATTTATTGATTTTTTGCAGTTTTTGCCCAATTTTTGCCGACCCAGAATTTTTGGAAAAATTATAAGGTTTTAACCGAACTTCGCAAACATGAACTTTACGCTCTTGGGGCTTGAAATTGGCGGCAAGGAAAGAATAGGTAGGCATGGTTATTACAAATACAATGTCTATTGCTTCAATTAATGACTTTCTCTATCTATTATTATTTTTTTCATCTAACATTCTCGACAACTGACTGATATTTGTCTACGCATCAATCCCTTTCTCAGCGAGATTCATCGACCAGCTAAGTTTATCAAAAACAGAAATTTCACTCACCCGCAGGATCAAGCATGACCACCAAACATATCAATCCAATAATAGTCAACACCTTTATATCCCCCCCCCCCCCATCTTTTCTTCATACCATGACGCCTTTCTCACGTCTTACTTCCTTTGAATGCTTCCACTTCCAACACCGTGATACCGTCATTCACCTTACATGGGACATGGGACACAGTAAGGTTTAAAGGCAGTGTCCCACCAGACTGGGCGTATCTGGCTCCCGTAGTCATGTAATAGTAGACCCCCTACCTAAGCGATGCCTGAAGTTCGGAGCGAAAAAGGGGGTCTACCAAGCCTGAAATTTGCTCCGAAAGTGGGCCGAATCTTACGGCAGGGTCGGGCGATTACGAGATGGATGCAAGGTAGAGACGCAGAGTTGTTGCAGGTCCCTGCGCTCATGACTGTGTGCGTTATACGCACTGTGGCCTTGCAATCGATATTGCTGTGTGGGCGGCAATCGGCCCTACCGTAAGATTCGGCCCACTTTCGGAGCAAATTTTAGGCTTCGTAGACCCCCTTTTTCGCTCCGAACTTCAATCATCGATAGGTAGGGGGTCTACTATTACATAACTACGGGAGCCAGATACCCTCAGTCTGGTGGGACACTGCCTTTAAGGTGAACGAACTGTAAAACTGAACATGTCTGTGACATGGACACAGACCTTACACATGTCCTGGGACACATCCACCCCTTCTCTGTTGTTGACTGTGCATTGTCTGTTGCTTGGAATATTAACACAAATTTGTTTGAGAGGCCAAAGTGCGTTCTCGATCATCCTCCTACATAGGTTAAGCGAAGTGTTTCATGCAAACCAAAGTTCACTAGCAAATTCTCACATTCGCACAATACAAAGTGGAACGAAAGATATACAGGGAAGTGAAGCTGCCGAATATCAGCCGAACCTGCCGCGTAGCGGCAGAGAGCAGCTGGTAATATATGTTATGCATTTCTTCGTATTGACAGTCATTGTATTTTTCACAAGATATTATCCATCAAAAGAGCATATATTAGCAGGGTTTAGCAATCATTTGGCAATGAACGATTTTTCATCATTTAAAGCATTCCACTCAAGACAGAGTAAGAGTATTATAATGACCGTCGAGAGAATTTTGCGTTGAGAATCATAGCCTTAAAGAAGTTTATGTTCTTGAAAAAGTTTAAATTTCTAAAAAGTTGTTTTTTCTAAGACCTTGTCTGGTTAGTGAAAGTGCAAATACGATCTTTTTCTAGCAAGACGTTTTCGATAGAAAAGGATTATGCGAGCATGATTGTCAAGAAGTATGGCGCTGCAGTCAAGGCGTACGACTTCAACCAGGCAGCAAAAACTGCTAAGGTATAAATGATGGTAGACACCAAGTGAAAATTGAAGGAGAAGGAATTAAGATAATCGACAACTTTGTACGTGAAAATACTGATGGAAAAATCAAAAATATCATAACAGCGAATGCCGTAAAAAGTACGCTTGCCATTTTATCCTTTTCAGTAACGGATTTTGTTTCAGATGAAGTCGCTCTAATAGTAAATGCGATTTACTTCAAAGCCAATTGGTATAACGAATTTAACAAGCGATCTACAACTTCGACCATGTTTTATCATTCTGCAACTAATAAGGAAAAGGTAAAAGAAAATTCTTGGGCAAAGCATGTGCACCACATGAAGCAGCTGGCATTTGCTTTTGTTGCAGATAAAGTTCATGAGAGTGATTGCAAAAAATCGCCTGTATGCTGAGAATGATGTCGTTCAAGTTTTATCGCTACCTTACAAGGACACCTCATACTCTTTCAATATAATTTTGCCTAAGAAAAAGTCTCTGATATTCAACAAACTAAGCCTGCACTCATACTTTCAAGTTTTAGGTTTGGCCTCGAGGAGCTCCGAAAAAAATTGGACGGAGCAACACTTCAAAACTTGCTTTCACGGCTGAGAATCACATTATTAACGGTGTGCGGAGGAAGTTCCAGGCTAACCGCATTTATGATCTTTCTAGATTTCCATTCCCAAAATGAAACTCGAGAAGGACTACAATCTGAAAAAGGCGTTGAAAGCTATGGGGGTTACCAATCTCTTCAACCGTTCTTTAGCCGATTTGACAGGGATTTCAAAAAAGGGCCTGTATGCATCTGAAGCAAAGCATAGAGCTTTAATTGAGGCAAGTGTTTTCCTCTGAGTCCCCAGCTTAACAACAAAGCGAAGAGTTGTTTTGAATGAACAGAAGCAAAACCCAACTTTTTTGATGTGTCATATTGCAAACGTGACGGCCCATGAAGTGACGATGGGTAGAGGATTATATGTCGTCAAAGGCACCCGCCATACTTGATCCGCTTTATCCACTTGGTCCGCTTGATCCGCTTCGCCATTGGTCAATTCAGTAAACTGACCAACAGCGAAGCGGACCAAGCGGATCAAGTGGATTAAGCGGATCAAGTATGGCGCGTGCCAAAGGGAGATATACGCGGACATGTGTAACTACGTACCTCTTGCATCTTATTTGAATGCTGCGCACTTGTTATAAATCTTCGCAAGGGACCTCCCCTTTCGGCTACATATGGTCCTCTACAATTGCGCTACAGACACACTTATGCATGAAAATGGCCGTGGAATACTTAGAGACCTGTGCTTCACGGACATACATTCTAATTACCGACATTGCAAGGCAATTTGTTTACGCGCAACTCTTGTCAGTACAGCGGAGGCACTGTATCAATTGTCAAATATTGTTCATTCATCGTTACAGCAACCACTTCAGTTTGCTCAATTAGGTTGACGAGAAGGGAACAACTGCAGCTGCAGCAACATATATCGGACTACGAGCGCATTCGGCAAGGAGGCCCAGAGCCAAAAAGTTCATCGCAGATCACCCATTCATCTTCATTCTCACTAAGGATAGAAATGCTCTCTTTATCGGCCAGTATGTGTGATGAATGTTGTACTCGACATCCACTTTACAGCTAAATAAATATGCGAAGCTTGAGTACAATTCCGCGTTTGCAGATGATCGCTACCGCTTGAATATAGCAACGCGCCGAAAGATTACTGGATGGCTATCATAGTCAGGTACAAATTTGACTACCGTTTCAGAATATCAAATATTTCATAGGCTGAGGTGTGGAAGACACAAAGGAGTGATCGCCTGGCTTCGAAATATAGAGCTATATTCTTCAGCGAAAATGAATGTAATTGAGCTGAGTGTTCATCCCGCATTTATAGATGTAGTCATCGCAGGTCAGCAATTAGTCTCGACGTTATGTTTTCCCAGCAGACACCAGGTTAGCTGAGAACCATGAGCAACGTATTAACATATGTAGTTGAATAAATATGCTTGAGTCCAATTTCGTATTTGCAGATGATCGCTACCGCTTGAATATAGCAACGTGCCGAAAGATTACTGGGATGGCTCTTATATTAGGGTGTCCCATAATTTTTTTACCGTTTCTGCCCTAAACAGCATTTCTCGAGAATTGAGGCACCTTCGGAGTTTACAAATACATGATCGTACTTCTATATGTATGAGTTATATGACCGCGTACGTGGGAGAAGCCTAGGATGTCTAGGAGCAGAGTTTGCCGATTTATCCCATTCATTTTTTCTCTATTTCTAGCCGTCGAAAAAATAGGGAAATAGTAAAATTCAATGTGCGATGTGCCGAGCATACGCTAGGACAAATGGGGAATTTTTGAGACATTTTGAGGCGGAAATACGATTATTGAAGAAAAAGTTCGTTTCCGACTGCTATCAAATTTCAGCTCAAAGCTGAATTACGACTCAGCAGATTCTTTTAGCCATCCTGTAAAGACTTGCTTTTCCATGTCGAATGATTACTCTAGCCACATCAATTTAAGGAAAATACAAAGAGACGACGGTTGTAGCAAAAATGGTGAAAAATTATGGGACGCCCTAATAGCTAGGTACAGATTTGACTACCATTTCAGAATATTAAATGTTTCATAGGCTGTTTGGAAGACTTGACGGAGTGCTCGCCTGACTTCATAAGAAATAAGAGTTACATACTTCAGCAAATGTGAATGTACTTGAGCTGAATGTTCATCTCGCATTTACAGATGTAGTCGTCGTTGATTTGCAAATAGTTTTGACACTATTCTCGCAGGCAGATACCATGTTAATTAAAATCTATGAGCACTGTTTTGAATAGAAGAGATCTTTTGCTACATATATAAAAAAGGTTGATTGTTTTACAGATTGAAAATCAGGGAAAGCTCCACAATAAGTGTTCCAAGTTTGGCTGTTTTAGAATCTTGGCATGTTTATGTATAATACTACTTCAGCAACAACCAAGATTTGTAATAATTTTCAACTGGTTAACGTTTCGGCGATTTTGGCCTTTGTCGGTCTCTCTACAGTCGAGGTTCAAGTGGGTTTTTTATTTACTTGCCAGTAAATTCAGCATATTTGACAAAGACAGAGCAACAATGCGTACTACGTTAGTTGGTACCAATCTCGGAAGGCAGTTCGAGCCGCAATGAAAACTGTTAACAAGGTCATGTTTCCGCTTTATATGTGCATTCTGCATCTCCGCGCAAGAATTGTGACACGATACTTTTGATAGCAATCCTCCCATTCGTCTCTGGGTTTTCGCATATATTCGACAAACCTTCAAAATTTTGGTGCAAAAATATCAGGTTCAAACGACAAGCTCTAGATTTCAATTTGAAATGCAGCATATTGTCATTTGTCATGCGGTGCTCGTCCAAAGGCGTGTTTGACTTGGATTTCTAGTCCGTCTATAGGCAATGCGTGACAAAGGCGCAATGTTTTGACGCGAACGCGGATTAATATCACAGAGCGCATGGCGCAGGAATTACAACGGTGAGGATGAGAGGCGCCGCGTTCGCGTCCGCTCAATCAAAAGTCCTTCTGCGCATTCGTCATGCAGTAGCCTTTAGATGCTCTTACGGCCAAAGACGGCGTTTCGGCTTCAGCAATGTAAATACCACATGATAGACATGTAATGATATAAATTAAAACCCAAAATCATACATCAAATCACTCCTTTTGCTGAATGGGCGAATCACGCCATCTGGGGAGTCAAGCACGAATGCCATGCTGGAAGTTTGCCCAAGGAAAAGCTTAACATAACCTATGCAGATTTAGTCAGTCATAACTAACGTGCTTAACGATATTGCCAAGGGGGCGAAGTTTTTTTGCAATTTGAGCATTTCATTTACAGTGCAACCGCATTTTACACCAAGTGTGAGGCCTTGGCTTGTCCTCGAAATGGCCTTTTCAGTTAGGATGTACACGATATCAAAAAACATAAAGCGATGATTTCAAATCTGCCTTCCCTATTTGCTATATATTAGGTTGTCCCGAAAGTTTTGTCGGTTTTTTCCCTCGCTCACTAAAACCTGCAGAACCTCAATTCAAGAAAGGTCTAGGTATTATTTGATTCAGATTTTCATCCTCTTTCTTACAGCTATGTTTGTTCTCTGATCTATCCTGTCTTCGCAATGTTATCGACATGGCTTTTTGAGCAGCTCATCAGTAACGCCAAATTTTTCTGAATTTTAAAAAGTTTTCTCCTATTACTTCCAAAAAGCGCTAATAACTGTTATGCAGAGCCATTCTTCGGCTACATTATACTTATTTCAGATTACATGAGTCACGTTTATGAAGTCCTAAAATAATTATTTATTTAAGAAAAACCACAGCTTTTTGATTACGTCTACCACGTAAAATTACCAAAAATTCCAAAAAGCTGATTTTTCAAAGCAAATTGTACTTGGTATTGTTGCATAATTATTGCTTATCAGCAGTCAAGTTTCAATTCGCAAAAATTCCGAAAGCTTTCATGTTTTTGCTGCAGTTGCGTGTTTCATGACTTTGCCAAACATTGAGACCTTCGAGATAATTTTTTGAAGCTAAAAACAACATTTTAGGAGAATCTATAAACATCGCCTTGTAGTCCGAGAATTGTTCTATTTGTGCCCTACTTAACCACCTTCGGAACATTGGAATGAAATTTTTAAAAATTAGCCTAACTTTGAGCAGATAAAAATGACGGGTGAAGAATTGTAACAAATATTAAAAGAAGCATACAGGATCTTGGCTCGTAAAAGTAACCACAAGAATGAGAAGGAAAAGCTGCATCGAATGCATATTGAAACTCATTCAGGTCTTCATTGTGCGTGATTTTATAGTGGTTTGAAAAAATCGACAAAACTTTCGGGACAACCTAATAGTTATGTTTACTGGAGCAAAAAAATCAAAAGTGCTGGGATAAAATGTGTACCTAGAATCTTGCTAGCCCACAAACGAAGCAAGCAAGTGTGATAAATTTTTTAACTTACAGGGGAAGTCACTTAACTTAGGTCGGCCTTTTGAAATGAGACACATATATTTAGAATCAGCTCGGAACGCTGATTCCAAATATGCTGTCCTTAGCTGCGAAGCGTTTCTCTGAAGCGAGTTATGAGCTTTTTCCCGAGCAAAGCTTGCGTGTTGACCGCCTTACAGATGCCACGATATCATCATCTAGGTAGTGGTTCAAATGCCTAATACACTCTATCAAGGCTAAGTGGCTCATTTTGATGTTATTTCGATTTTCCATTATTTTTTGGAGCCGATTCCGTCTATAGGCCTTTTTTCCATATTTAGTTGTATGTCAATAACACATGTTAAAAAGCTCATAACTCGCTTCAGAGAAACGCTTCGCAGCTAAGGACGGCATGTTTGGAATCAGCGTTCCGAGCTGATTCTAAACATATGTGTCTCTTTCCAAAAGGCCGACCTAAGTTAAGTGACTTCCCTTGTTAGAGTTTTTGTTGAATAAGGTGCTATGTTAACTACCACTGCTCCATCGCAACGCTGGAAAAGGTATTACAGCTATTTTTTCCTATCTGCACACTTAATTTTTTGCCCCAATAAATGTTCATAACTCCTCGTTGATAAAGGTTCCGCAGGGAAGGCAGATTTGAAATCATCGTTTTATTCCCTCCATTATGTATACCCTTTGATTTAACGGGATTGGCGGCTGGAAGGCGACCGCTCGCGCCCAACCTATCTGCGTCCTCTCTGGTGCCCTCAGATCATTCATTCTAGTCTTCAGTAGGCCTCGAGCACCCCCCCCCCTCCTTCCAGCCGCCATTCCCATCGATTCAATGGGCACATCCCATCTAAAAAGACCACTTCGATCAAACATGCTCCACTTATCAGTTTCGACTTTGGTTTACGTATTACATATTCACTAACATACGCGATAGCTGGCCTCTCCAGAACCAAACCATTTCGACTGGATTGCTCTCTCTAAGGGCCGCATGCACTAACATTTCCGCTGGGGAGGGGATCGCAGCTTCAGAAGAAAGCTTCATATCCTGAAGCTCCGGATATCTGGATTTCACGCTGTCTACCTGTCCGTAAGTACTCCCACCATCCTTCACTATGAACATATTGAGCAGAAGCGAGAAGCTGTACAAGCCGCATTTCCCAGCTTTAGGATCACCTGATGATCCCTGGGGGACGAACATCTATTCTTCAAAGTCATTTTTCTTTCTCCGAAGTCAACGAAAACCTTCCAAAGTTATACTGAACATCTAACACAACAGTGCTAAGCATGTTGCTGATGAGAACAAATGAATTTTTGAAAAATCGAATTTTTCGGTATACCCCAAATTTCGACCTGTGGATCATCGAAAATTTCATGACTTCAAAACATCATTTGTTCTTATCAGCAACATGCTTAGCACTGTTGGGTTAGATAATCTGCACAGCTTTGGAAGTTTTTGTTGAGTTCGGAGAAAGAAAAATGACTTTAAAGAAAAGCGCCGGGGATCATTAGGGATCATACAAAAGCTGGAAAATGCGATTTGTACAGGTTCTCGCTCCTGTTCAACATGTTCATAGTGAAGGATAGTAGGAATACTTACGGATAGGTACTCAACGTGAAATCCAAGTACCTGGAGTTTTGAAATATGAAGCTTTCTTTTAAG